GTTGAACGCGGTGTGTTGCAACCGGCTCCGGTTACCTGAGGACACTGAAATTGGAGGCGGCTGAATCTTGGAAGTGTTCTCTGTTTCAGGTTCCAGCTTTGCTTTTCTTCCTTCCTTTTTCTCTGGCCAGGGTGGCACTAAGCCTGTTCTTTCTGCTCCCCAGTGGGGACTAAGGCCTGCTCTCTGGGGGTTTGCTGCTCGGTGCGTGCCGCATCGTTCTCCGGCAGCACACAGGGTGAGTGGGGAAGGAGGGCAGGGACGTGCGGGCTGCCAGGTCGGGCTGGAGTCCTTGCAGAGGTGAATTCAGGTGTCCCTGGAGTTGCTGCTGTAGGGGAGTGGTGGGGCTTGAGAAGGATCCCATCCCTCCCGCCATCAGATGCTGGCAACATGAGCCTATTTACCTTAGTAAATACCTGGTAATGTGGACCCAGGCCTTCCTCTGGACTCGGCGGAACTGATGACCTGTAAGAGAACAGAATGTCTGGGTGGAAACTGAATGTTTTCAGTTAGACAGCTGTGGCACATTGGCTTTGGTTGTACTGATGGCAAAGCTGCCCCGTCTCAAATAGAAGTGGGCTCCTGGCCTTGCTCTGAGGGCTGCATCTCAGCATCGTGTCCCCACTCAGTGCCCAGGGCTGCCCCATCCCAGTGCAGAATCCAGCACTGCTCCTGTTATTCCTCATGTGGCTGCCAATGCACATCCCTCTAATCTGTTAAGATCTCTCTGCAATGCTTTTCCTCCCTCCAGGGAAGCAGCAGCTCTTCCCAGTTCAGTGTCTTCTGCAAACTGACTCAGTGTGTCTTCCAGCCCTGGATCCAAGTTGAAGAAGACATCAAAGAGAACTGGCCCCAAAACTGAGCCCTGCAAACCCTAGCAGTGACTGAAGCAGCAAAAGGGTTGCTCTGATTTGCACCCACTGTAAGGGATAAGCAGAGTGGCACTAGGACAGAAACTATCTGTAACTGTGCCAGTGTCTCACTTGAATGCACCACATTTTTTCCTTTCCTTTGGGAAGTGATTTTTGGATGTCACCTGGAATGCCCTTTGCTCCTGATTCATATATGAACTACATTTGTGTTTGGTTGTTTGTTTTGAGACATGACAGGCAGAGGCTGGAGCTGCTGCCAGCCTGGTGCAGTGCTGATATGGAGAAAAGTCCTGGGGACCCTGTGGGCAGTTTGTTGCAATGGGGGCAGCTCTCCCTCCCCTCTGCCATGGCAGCTCCCTGTGTGTTTGCCCAGCTGTAGGGCAAACATGTTGGCTTATCAGAGCCTCTCTCAGGGAGGATGGTACTCAGAGACCTAAAATGCACTGTTGGCTTTGGCAGCTGCCACGCTGCCTCTGTTGAAGGAGTGCTGGACTCGTTTTCATCCCAACACCTGCTGAGGATTGTCTCGGAAATCCAAAGGAGAAAATAATCTGTGTGCTGTTCTGATTGTTTTGTAGGAAAATTGAGAAGAGTTTGTGCAGATCCTGCTTTGTAAGGACAGGAGATGTGTGCAGGAGATTGTGGCAGGGTCAGCCTTGAGAGCCTACAACTGCAAAACTCCTTTTTTCTAGAGCAGGAACTTACATAAAGAACCACTGTGCTTACAGCAGTACAGAGCATTGGTCGCTTCAACATTTGAAGCAATTTTCTCAATATCTTCGTCATTTGAAGGGAAGATCTCAAGAACTGCATGAAATACAGCTCAAGAGCAGCATGAAGTACACATCCCCGTTATCTTTCTGCCTTTTCCAGTGACATCTCAGCCCCTGTGCCTGCTTGTCCACCAGCCCTGCTCTGACTTTGGCTTTTGGCATGCTGCTGCTGTGCAGAGGGTGCTCAGTGCTCAGTGATGGTGTCGGGACACGTCCTGCAGGGCAATGAGTTCCCAGGGGAAGGATGCTGGCAGCCCCACCACGAAGTGCTGTCGAGTGCTGGAAGAAAAGTGTCACTTCTTGGCGGGGTTTTGCTTTTCCTGGTTACATCAGATGTAATCTCACAGCTGAAAGCTTGAATTTTAACTCGTCCGAGTTTTGTTTCAGCGGGCATTGATGTGAAGCATCCTGTGTTGGCATGAGTAATTTGGAATAGGTCAGAGATTCCTATGTACACCCTGCCCATTCCCATGGGAAAGTGGCTGGTGGGCAGGTTTCCCATATATTGCCTGGCAGAAGGGATAAAGGTTGGGATGCCCTGGAGCTTTGCCCAGGAATGATTATGGTGCTCGTGCGTGAAGCCCGGCCCTGGGAGGGGAGCGGGGTGTCTGTCCCCAGCCATGGTGACAACAGGTTGCTGCGTGCCAGGCCGGCTGGCAGCTCCAACAGTGGGGTCATGTTGGCATCGGCGTAAGCAGGAGCCTGAAGAAGAATAGCAGAGGGGTTGGACTGAATGCTAAATCACAGGGAACAGCCCCGACTTGTTCACCGAGCGTCGCTAGTTTGGTTACATCATGCTTGGTGTTGGTCAAGAGAGATGGGCTGATAGCTGCTGAGCTTTCAGCAGGGCTGCTTGCCTCCTGCAGGGCTGTGTGTCTGGGCGGCCAGGCGGGTGGCAGAGAGGCCAGGAAGGCTGCAGGGATGTGGTGTGGGGTTGTGGCTGTGCATCCCTGCTGCAGGAGCTGAAATGGCAGTCCTGAAATGAGCCGTATGCGGCTGCCAGCTGAGGTGATGCTCGGGTTGGAGAAACCACTGATGACTACAGGAAGGAAAATTTAACACCTTTGCTGAGTTTATCAGTTTCTGAGCTGCCCAAAATGGAAATAAATAAATAAATAAAAATCTGTGGTACAGCGTGGCTGGCTGGGAGCGTCAGACTGCCAGCAGCGCTCTGGGCGACGATGACATCTAGTGGCTGCTGTGCCCGGCCAGGCAGCAGCTCTGGGACAAGGAGCTGAGCTCCAGCCTAGGCTGCACAGCAGCGCCTCGGACAGGGCCAGGTAGGGGCAGCCCTGCTCTGCATCCCCCTCAGTGCTGCACTGAGTTCAGGGGTGGCTGTGGCTGGCAGGGCAGCAGCACATGGGTTTGGCTCGTGTCACATAGGATCTGCTTCCTGCTCTGAGCACCAAGCCAGTGCAGGACAGATCCCTCCCCAGAACAGTTAGGTGCAAGCTTTAATGGAAGGGTCCCTTTGAGCTGGCCTGATGCACTGTGTGCATGCAGAGGGGAAGCAGAGCTGAAGCTGTCACAGATGTTGCAGCTGCACAGTCTTTGTTCTCACCACTGAGCTTGTAGGTGGAGGTTTTTTGCTCAAAGTAACTTGTACATTTAGCTCTTAATTCAAGTGTGAGTGTATGTGGATTGGACACAAAAGAATCACAGGATGGGTTAAAAAGGACCACAAGAGTCATCTAGTTTCAGCCCCACTGCTATGCGCAGGGGCACAGCCACCAGACCAGGCTGCCCAGAGCCACATCCAGCCTGGAAGGCATCTCTAGTTGCCAGCTTACTTTACCACGTGTGTTTAAATGCTGATTGTAGCCTAGAATAAAAAGACAAAACAGCTTTGCTTTTTGCTTGGGTGCACACAGCTTCCTCAGGCTGATTTCATCGCGGTCCTTCAGCGGTGCCATCCTCAAAGGCCACTGCTCTTCTCTTCCAGCTGCAATGTGCAGGAAGAGCTGTGCATGGACCAGGGGACTGGCAGCTCCCAGAGTGTGAAACCCAGCCCTTGTGCCCTCCTTTGTGTGCTGTGAGCACGAGGTGCTGGATGTTGATGCCTCTTACTTTGCCCCGCTTTGGGAGCTAAGAGGATTCACAGGGATGTTCTGCTCTCTCGTGGGCATGGAGCAGGCTCGCTGCTGCTTGCTGTCCCCAGGGATGCGGGTTTTATATCTGCCAAGCAAATAAATACAAACCACTCGTCTCTGGAGGACGATAAAAAGTAAACTATCTATTTTCTGTGATAAAGCACTGGAAATAGTTGGAATTTAAGGTAATTATCTTGATTGCTTTTTATAGCACCCTGCGAAGACTGAAATCTAATTTGTTTCTCTCTAACAGGGAGCTCCTGCTGATGACTCAGACAAAAATCCATTTGCCTTATTGACAAACTTGTCTGTTTGGTTTTCAGGGCAGTGTTGTTGCAGAAGGGACATACAGGTGGTTACTCAGCAGTGAGTTTTTAATACATGTTCAGAGTTTGATATGTAGTAGCTGGAGGAGAGAATGAAGCTGATGCAATCGGAGGGAAGTTACTTGGCATTGCTACAGATGGCTGTAAATTACTTCATGCTCTCCAGTGGGTGCAGCAAGTGGTAGAGATCAACCAGATGTACAGGAGCTTGCAGGGAAGCTGCAGGAAGGGTGACTGTGCACAAAATCTGTCTGAAGGTGCTGGGCACTCCTCGTGTGACTGCAATTTCAGGGTCTTCTGCTGCTCTGGAGCTGGGGCCCTATGGGAAGCAGTTGTCCGTGCTGTTTTCTCAGCTGTTGTTGAGGAGGGAGTGCCTTCTGCCTGCTCTGCCCCTGCCTGCTCAGCAGCTGAGCTGCTGGAGGAACCTCCTGAAGTTGCATCAGCCTGATTTGCAGACACACGTGGCCCTAATGTGAAACCCCTCACATTGCTCCCCTGCTGAGAGGAAAGAAAATGAAATACAGAGGTGATGGAGCGTGGCCGTGCCATGGTGGGGCTTGTAACTGAGGGTTTCTGGGCTTCTCTCTCACTGGAACCCAACGCTCACATTGACTGCCCTGCGTTGCTCTGCAGTATGGGCTGCTGTGTGCTGCTGTGCCCTCAAGGATGAGTGTAGAGGATGGTAATAGAAAAAGTAACATTCTTCCAAAATACATTCACATTGAGTCAGTTCTTCCATCGCCGAGTTTGAGACTTTCCTTGTTTAATGAAGTAAACAGTTTAATTTGCATGTTTCTATTAGCAAGCATAGCAGGTGTGCATGCCTTGTAGTTCTTCACTCCTTTTGTCCTTGCAGTCGGAAAGCAGCAGCTGCGTTCTCTGGGCAGGCTTCTCAGCATCACCACTTCCCTGCCTGTTTGACCCCTGTTCTTTTCTCTTTAGGAATTGACTACAAGACTACTACCATCCTGCTGGACGGCAGAAGGGTCAAGCTGGAGCTCTGGTGAGTTTGGCTTCTGAGCTGCACCACAGCATGGCCAGTGCAGAGCATCCCTGGCTGTGTGCTGAGGCTTGGTAGCTCCTCTACCCAGTCAGTTATCCTAGTGAATCAGACCCCTTTCTGTGACGGAGCAGCAGCAGCAGCATGCTGTCCTTTGCCAAAGTGGTTCCATTTCAGCCTTTCTCCACCACAGCTGACTCCATTCCCATACAGCTCTAAGGGAGTGATACTGTTTTGAAGGTAATACTGGACTCAGCTGAAATCCTAGAGTGGGAAACAAATAGAATTAGGAGGACAAAGCCCTCAGTTCCTACAGAAGCCTGGATTTGTCCATGACTTGGTCACCATACAGTCAGTGCCTGGAGAGCAGGGTGTATCCCTGGCACTGGGATGGAGAAGTGAGAGCACTGCACATAGAGGTGACCCTTCCTTACCTGTCAGCACTGGAAGAAGAGCTGGAGCCCATCTGATCCTGCTCTGAGATATAAACTGCTAAGATGCCCCAACAGTGCAGGAGGAATAGCCTGCCCCTGTTGTGCTTCAGCTGGATCGAGTAGGGAGTGACACAGGTCCTGAAACATGAAAGCAAACTTGTCTACCAAGGCGTGTATGAAATAACTGTGTATGAAATTAGTGTTCTGTGTGAACTGTTACACTGGGAACGAATGACACATTCTCAGCCTCAGAGACTGACTCTAAGGGTGTATGATTTCATGGTTTAATTAGAATCCTGCTCTCTCAGGAACTGATGTCCTCATTTTTCTAACAAACAGCTAATTTATCTCTCTGCCCTATGTGATTGCATACGCTCCTTCTATTTTGTGTTTCCCTTTCTTGTAAGGTGCCACTTTTCCCATTTGTAGCTCAGTGGGAGATGTGGAGTCTGGGATTTGTTTCTTCCTACCTTTCACAGGTTTTCTTTGTTTCAGGGACACGTCGGGGCAAGGCAGATTTTGCACCATTTTCAGGTCGTACTCCAGAGGAGCCCAGGTGAGCACTGCTGTCCTGTGTTTGACAGGAGCCAGTCCTTTTCTTTGGGCTGTAACAATCTTTCATGCTGTAGCAAAAAGCTCTGAGGCAAATCAAGCATCAAAGGATGGGATGAAAATAGAGGGTATGAAAAGGATGGGGTGAAAATACCGAGAGGCACCACAGGTCTTCCTGTGCTCTGGTTTTCTTGTTTTATGGAATGGTAGGAGACAGAGGAGTGAGGGACACTCCTGGGCTGCTGCTGGGACGTGCTGTAATGGATTGCTGTCTGTTGTTTCTAGACGAGGGTTGAGAAGTTGGAATTACAGAGAATGAGGCAATTCTAACCTGAGATCTGCCTTAGCTTTAATGTGGGGGCTCCTAATTTCAGAGGCTTATCAGGTATGTTTCAAAACAACACCAGCTTTCCCAATGGAGTTCTTCCTCTGTATTGCCACCAAATCGGTTCCAAAAATAAGGTGGCTCCTGCTTGTACATTCGGTGCAGGCTTGAAACTAGAGCAGCTCACTTGGATCTTAAACTAAGTTCCTTAAAACATGAAACAGAGAGTTAAATTTTGAGCTTCTCCTTTGGGCCTTGTTCCAGAATAGCATCTAGATGGTGAATGGCTAGTAAAATCTTTTGGTCTTCTGAAAGAAATGCTATTTAACAGTGCTTTTTTTGATGTATTAATAGTCATCCTTTGAGTAACATCCCAGAGTCCCTACAGATAAAGGATCATTAGCTTAAAAAATAAAAAATCTCATTAAGTTAAAAGAACTACAGTGATTGCCTTTCTTTTCTTATTCAAAAAGTTTGGCAAAAGTCCTTCTACTTTACACAGAACTTCACCCTGCTCACACTGTATTTCAGAAAACTGTACAGAGCTCCAGTCCTAATGCAACCTGCATGCTTGAGGTGGTGTCCTTTCCCTTATAAGCAAGCAATGGGGCACTGTGGTTTTCTGGTTGCCACACGGCTTGGCTTTGGGCAGTCTTCCTGAGACCTTGCTGTCAAATGCCCAAATCAAACAGGGAGCAGCAAGCACAGTGTCTGCATTGGGCTCCAGCCAGCAGAGCCTGCACAGTGTGTGCCAGAGCTTGTGGCTGCCGTGTGATGAACTGGGACAGATGGGAAAGGTGAAAGAAACGGTGGTGAGAATGTAGAGATAGATCAAGCTATGTGTCTGTTTAGCAGCTGAAGCAGAGCTGTAAGGCACTGGGAGTGCATCCGTTGGGTTCCTGCAGCCTGTCTTCTGCACACAGCACGCCTGAGGCTGGATGGGAGAAGCCAGCTGACCTGAAGCTTGAAACGGCTTTCTTTTACCTTCCTTCCTTGTAATGAGGTTCTTGATCGTGTTTGGTTTAGAGGTAGCATCTTACCCTTCTGCTTTATTCATCAGCATTGCTTTAGGAACTCTCACTGTACAGTGGGGAAGGTTTTTTTGCCTTGTCCATCTTACCTGCACACCGTCCTCAAGGAAACACGTGGACAGGCATTCAAGTAAATGTGATCAGCCAGCTTGGCAGAGGCACCTGTAACATGAATGGTCTGTTGCTGAGTGCTGGAGCATGCACTTCACTTAGGCAAGAGTGCAGCTTATGCTTCTTTCTCAGGGTCTGTTTTTTGTCTATGCCACGAATCCCTGTTGCAGAGAACTGTTGTGATGCCTTGGTCCCAACAACAACCACTCTTTACCCTCTGTAACTGCAAAACAGCCAGAAGCAGCAAGCCTGCCTGAAGAAGAGAGAGTTCCCAAGTGAAACATCTCCACTGCCTGCTCAAAGATGTTCTGTGATGAGTGCTGCACAGTGAAGAGTGAGCGGGTGCCTTCTGAAGGCTGAGAGCTGCAGCCCTGGTGCAGTTTTCTCCAGGTTTGAAGTACAGCTTCAGGTGGTTGGCTCCCATGTGGCACCCCAGCAGTGTTCCTGAATGAGCAGGAATGCAAGTGTCTCTGAAATAACCTCCACGTCTTCTGAAAGCAGAAAGTATGCTAATTCAAACTCTTCATGGTTAACCAATGCAAGAGGGATGTTAGATTTGAATGATGAAGATCTCTGCTGCAAGAACAGGCTTGAATAGTTGTTGGCTTCTGCATGCTGGAAATAAGTACTTCTGTCAAAGGTGGGCAGAGCTGCCCTTCCTCTGGGAGCAAGCTGCTACCTAGTAGTTGGTTACACAGTTTTATTGATGGCATAAAGACAGCTCAACAACTCAAAAAAGTGTGGTCTGGGTGGTGACGAAGGCATGAAGTGTTCCTGAGTTCCCTGTTTCTTCCAGACGTGCTCGATGCTGTGTGTTGGGCTGAGTTTCTGTGCTTAGGCAGTCTGCTTTCCTCTCTTCTCTGTTGATGTCCTCAGACTTCAGGAGTTCTGTGGGAAGCCTGATGCAAGCACTGTTGGAAGCAAGAGAAACAGCTTTTTCTAACCTAACAAACCAGGAGCTCAGGAAGAGCAAAGAGATGCCAGAGGGGTTAAACTCTGCTTAAAGTGCAGCATGATATTTGTGCAAGAACAGCTTGGTGTAAACCAGCCATGAACACCTTTGTGCTGGAAACAAGCAGAAGGCTTTTATTGAGCAGAGATGGGGCTTCTGGGCTGGGCTTCCTTTAAGGAATAACAAGGACTAACTCAGTGAGAGCTGGGTTTCCAGAGAGAGCTGTGAGGCTGCTGGGAGAGCAGGAGGTGCTCAGGTGCCATGGCCTGGCCCTTGCTGGAGCTGGCTGAGAAGGGGTACATGAGTGGAGAGAACTTAGGAAAATACACGGAACAGCTGCTGGGTGAAAAGCATCTGCGAGTAAGGGAAGCACACCTGGCTCCCCTTCCCACCTCGTTGCTTCTTGAATGGAATGATAAGAATTTAATCTCCTGAAGTTAAACCCTTGCTAAATGGAAAAGTGGTCCCCAGGTAGGAGCCAGACCTTGTGAGCTTTCCTTTCTGACACAGCAGAGCTTTGTGCTTTTGCTCAACCTGGGCTGCAGGATTCTTTCTGAGCACCTTGAGGCCTTGCCCAGGGTTCCATGCTGCTGTTCAGGCTTCTGGCTCTGGAGCTGTGTGGTTTTCTTGTTGGGGAGGAATGTCGCCCTGTTGGAAACATCTCAGAGTAGCCTTGCTGTCCCTGGTGAGCTGGCTTCTAATGAGGGGACCTCTTTCAACCGATGCAGACAAGTCCCAGCTCTTCAGGCAGTGTGACAGAAGTCCTTCAGGAATGGTTACAGACTATCACAGAAAGTCAAAATGACATTGAGGAACGCTCCCATCTTACAGCAAGGCTGCAGCCCTAACAGAATAATGAGTGTTGTTGAGTTCTGCTTTGGCAGCAGGTTTGAGTGGTTGCTGTCTATCCCACTCAGGGCTTCTCAGCACGCAGAGAGCTGTGGGCTTTTTGGCAGCTCAGCAGGCTCTGAGATGCAGGCTGTGCAGCTTTCAGGGTGCTGCAAACACTCTACCTGCCTCTGGTCATTCTGAGGGCATCCAGCTGCTGGAGGAGTCAGCTCTGCCTGTGACAGTGCTTACTGCCAGCTCAGTGATAAATAACCCCCATGTGTTACACCGTTGGGAAATGCTTTGGCAGCAGGGAGCAGTGCCCTGGGCCAATGTCCCAGGTGCCAGCTGGAGAAGGGACATGGTGTTCTCCTTGCTGTCTTTGTTTATGGCTTACTTAGTCCTGCGGGCTGCAAAAGTCCAGTCTGGGGGTTCTTCCAGGCTTCCTCAGCAACCAACAGCTTTGTTCCATCAGTGCACAGTAGCAGCAAGTGAGGCTCTCCTGGCTGCCCTGTCCTCTGCGTGCCGAGGTTTGTGGCAGTGGTGGGAGCAGTTGTTTTCAAGCACGCTGCTTCTGCCACCTTTCAAAGCTTGCAGATCTGCTTGCTGCAGGTGCTTAAGCCAGACAGAGATGTGGTTTGTTTCTCTTTGATTATGTGGACAGGACTTTGTGTGAGCTCCTGCTGTAAACAAGCCTGACTTCTGGCAGTGTAAGGGTCCACGTGTGCTGCTGGGTACAATAATAGATTATCCCTGTTCTTTGTTCACTGCGTGATGCACTCACGTGGAAATCTGTCACTGGGAGCTCAGGCTTGCACCAATCCCAGAAGTGTGGAACAAAAGCAGGCTGGAAATGGACTTTGAAAATGAACTGTGAAAAATCCCGGGACAGTGCTGGGGGATAAAGTCCTCTCCCACCCACCTAGGGGCAGGCTGGGGAGAGGCTGCTCAGCTCAGATGCTCTCACAAGGTGTCTTGTGATGCTAAATACTGAGAGGTATGGAGATATCGGGGTGTTGAGAGCCATCGGGGCACTTAAAGAAGGTTTTGGGCTGCAGATGGGAATCTGTTCATCTTTCTGGTTGATTACAATTCTGCACATGTTATTCCACAGGAATCTTTTTTTCTTTATGAACCTGGAAGAAAAAAAAAAAAGCCAACAGCTCTTCCTCAGAGCTGTCTGCAGAGCTGGAGCCAGCTCCCTGCGTGCGTGTCTGCAAGCTGTTCTTTGCAGGGGAGAAAGCAGCGATGTTCGTTTGGGAGGCAATGTCTGGAGCACACCTGTGCTGCCTGGGAGAAGCACAAGGTCCCCTGGCTGAGCCCCACGTGAAGCTGCTTCCTCCCATTTGCCCAAGCTGGGGAGGATGGAGACAGGATTGGGGCACTGGGCAGCGTGGCCTTGGTGTCTGCTCTTAGGAAGCTTTGCTTGACAATCTGAACTCAAAGTGTGTGTGTGTGGAGTTGTGTTATGACTTGGGAAGCTGTGCTGGCAGGCAGTGTAGAGTTAGAGAGCATGATCTTGACCTTCCACTTGGATCCTGAGAACTTGGGGTTGTGGTTTTGCTGATGTTTTATCCTGATTGCTCTGCAAAGCAGATCCAGGCTGCAGCTGCCAGCAAGCTTAAAGCCACACTGCTCTGAGAGCGTGGTTCTGGCAGAAGCTATCCTCACAAACCAGCTCTTGGGTCTGTTTCTGTTGGCTCAAGGAACTTGTCAGTCCAGAAAGAAAGCAAGTAGGGCCTATTGAATGCCCTGGCAGTTTGTCTTGGAAGGAGGTCCTCAACCCTCTTCCTCTGTTGTTTCCTGATTATCATTCGTTTACATGTGCAGCTTTGGAAGTTGGAAGTCAAAACAGACAGAGCAAATGAGGAAAGTAGAGGTTCCCCCCCAGTCGGGTTTTTCCCCCCCCCCCGGCCCACCCACAGAATGCACTTTATTTTAGTGATGTCTCTCTCCTGGTAGCAGGTAGTTCTCAATTTTGTCACCTTAAGATCTCCTTTGCACCAGGACTTGCTGTAGGGCTGGCTGTTCCCTGCGGGTTCCTGATTCCAGGAGGACTGGCTCTGCCCAGCTGCCTGCCCTGTGACACCCTGCAGTCAGGCTTGGGCTGTTTGCTTTGCTCTCAGCTCAGTCCAGCTGCCTTCCACGTGAGCTGGATCCGTCCCCAGAAGCACTTCTGGCTCGCTCATGGGGCTGAGCAGTGGCCATCAGGTTTGTGCAGGAGGAATGCACAAAGCACAGCCCTGCTCCTCTGGATGCAGAGTCACTGAGGCGGTTCTTTGGGAACCCCCTGACCAAAACAGAACTGGTGTCTTTTCCAGAGTTGATCACTTGTTGGAAATAGGAGTAAAATCCTCCCCAACAGATGTGAGTTAAGTGCAGAACAAGGGGGAATGGTTTTAAACTGAGACAGGGGAGGTTTAGGTTGGATGCTAGGAGGAAATTTTTCCCCCAGAGGGTGGTGAGGCACTGGCACAGGTTGCCCAAGGAGGCTGTGGATGCCCCATCCCTGCAGGCATTCAAGGCCAGGCTGGATGTGGCTCTGGGCAGCCTGGGCTGCTGGTTGGCGACCTGCACACAGCAGGGGTTGGAACTGATGAGCACTGTGTTCTGTGACCCAGACCATTCTATGATAGACCTGCTGCATCAATTTTATCCCTATCAAGCACATAAATTTTAATGCAACTGGAGGAACATTCTTTGAGCCTTTCAGTTTTTGGGTCTAGAAGCGGTCTTCTGGGTGAATCTTCCTTTTAGTTTGCCTCATATGCAACCTGGTGACTGCACGTTTTCTTCCATCAGGGAATTCTCCTGGTGTATGACATCACCAACCGCTGGTCCTTTGATGGGATAGATCGATGGATAAAGGAAATAGATGAGGTGAGCTGCATGAAGGGCCCAGGGGCGTGCTGGCTTCCTACCAAACACCATCCCTTTGCGCTGGGGCTGCTGGCCCTTCTGGCCCAGGGGCCAGGCACACTGATGGGAGGCTGGGGAGATAAATGTGGCACCAAAGTGCAGAGGTCTGTAACAAAATCCAGGCAGGGGCCACCTCTGATATGGGTACAGGAGTGGTTGTGCTGTGGTTCCCTATCAAGTGAACTAGAGAGGAGAAAATGAATTGTCCTCGTTTATGTAGCACTGACTGCTCAGCATCAGAGCAGCTTCTACTCTCTCTTGCTCTTCACCTCCATTGAAGTTAGGCAGGGCTGGCTGCCCTCACTAAAGACAAGCCATGATTACTTTTCCACGTCCGTTCTTCTTTTTGCAGCATGCCCCAGGGGTGCCCCGGATCCTGGTGGGAAACAGACTTCACCTGGCCTTCAAACGACAGGTGCCCACAGAGCAGGCCCGGGCGTACGCTGAGAAGAACTGCATGACGTTCTTTGAGGTCAGCCCACTGTGCAACTTCAACGTCATCGAGTCCTTCACAGAGCTGTCCCGCATCGTCCTCATGCGGCACGGCATGGAGAAGATCTGGAGGCCCAACCGAGGTGGGCAGTGAGAAAAGGGAGCTGTGTGTGGGCTGGAGCAGAGGGAGCGCCCAGATGGGGCTGTGTGTGTGTGTGTGTGTCTGTGTGTGTGTGTGTCTGTGTGTGTGTGTGT